GCGACATAATTTCTAAAAATTGAGGAAGCAAAATGCATATCAGCGATCGATGAGTTATGATACAATTTCTGATTGATCTCATTTTGAAAATGCACATCGGCTGTACGCAATAACATAAAAAGTTCAAATCAGGTAACTAATCAATCAAACAACAGGCAATAATCATATCCGATAGCAACTAAAGTGGTAAAGAAGATAATCTAGTGAATGATTTGGGTGAAAATTCTCGGATATCGACTCACCGTTTCCGATTGAGCAAGTGATGAGAGTAACCGATGGAATTTGTTTGCTCCTTTTTTCAAATTTATAGCAGCTTTGATGGTGATCTGCATTATACTCATCATCAAGCATACGAACTTTACATGACTGCCACGTTGCAGCTACTGCTTGCTCCGCCATCATGCGACCGTCGGATCTCCGTTTACTTTTCCCGGATGTGATGTAAGCCTTTTTACGTCATGGGTTCGTCGTCTTGTAGGAGAGAACAACTGGTTTTATAAGAACAACCATGGACGATTCGTCAAACTTAGCCCTTGTATCTTTGCTTTATTTGATAAAAAGACCTTACACTTTTAAGTATGGTTATAAACGGCTCAAAACTTCAGCAAAGAGAATTACACTTTTGAGAAGGGTGGTGTTTTTTGGTGAAATAAAACATAAAATTAGTTAAAATAAATCTAGCGTTGATGAAAACCATTGCATTGATAACATGTCAAACTCTTTGTGTCACGAAACCGATTTTATATATACTTGAATATGTAATTTATATTTACTTGAATATGTAAACTTTCCTTATCATCCCTCTCCTAATGTCGTGTTATACCCATCGACATTTAAAAACCCCGATGGTGAATCCATAAACTCAGAAATACACACATCCTCATTATGTAAACCCGATGGAAAAAATCAAAATTATGTAACGAAATCTTAGTGAAATGAACAATGGGTGAATATGTGATAGAAAAGTGGATTTGTCACACCAATAGAGGTATGAGAAGCATTTTCAACGTATTTGAATCAGAAATAGGCTAAAGTTGACAATAGCATTATTTGATAAAAGATAAAATTGCAAGAACTGTGTTTATGTATATGTATGTCAAAACGTGGGATCAAAAAAGTTTAAATCCAAAAAATTATTTTATAATGCGAGTTTGATTTGTTTGGTTAGAACTTTTTTGTAAAGATAATTTTTCCCCTTATTATTTAATTTTCTTTTTTTTATTACCATCAATTAAATAAATACAATTAAAAATAAAACAAAATTACCCCTCTCTCTCTCTCTCTTTTTTTTTTTTTTTTTTTCCGAACCACCCACCCCCATTTTCTTATTCAAAACCCTCTCTTGTTTTTAAAGAGCATTCCTATTTTCTTTTAAATGGATATGCCTTTTAAACATTAAGGAAATAAACCAAAAGCATATCGGAAACAAGTCTACCAATTTAAAATATCTTTTTGAGATGTTTGCCTAGTTTCGTTATTTTTATTCATCTTTCCACTAACAGAAAATACCACATCAGTCAATTCTCATCCTTTACCTTGTCATCTAAATAAGAAATCACGAATTCAGCCACGTTATATCTAGGGATGTTGTTTCCCAACAAATATCATTCCTTCTTAGTTATCTGTTATATTCAACCAACTTTATTTTATTATAGGATAATATTTTGATTTTAGTAAAAATCACAGGTACATGCATATAAAGTACCCACGAAGCTCTTTTTCCATCTTCCTAATTGATTATATAACTGAACAATATAATTTCTTGCTCCAACAACAATGTCCGCAAATATATGACACTAATAAATAGCGATATGCTATGAATATATCTACATAATTAATTAAATGTTCATTTTATCTAAAGTGTTTGAAGAAATGATGATGATTGAGCAAGCACCAGCATCACAAATTAAATGAACACTTGATTTCGGTCAAAAGAACATCAATTTTTTAATTATTATAATAACTTTAAGATATAAAAAATATTATAAACATCCTAACACATTTTGGCAAATATAATATTTTGAAAGTTGTAAACAGTAAATATTTGAGAAAATTACACGGTTGGTCCCTATGGTTTGCTCTTACTTGCACGCGTCGTCCCTGGAAAGAATTTTTAACTCGGACAATCTCTATAACTTTATTTCGTTACCCGCCTAGTCCTTTAGTTAACTTTCCGTCTTATTTGGGGTTAGGAACTACTCACGTGAGTGGCACGCTGGGGGCATTTTTGTCCTTTCAACCCTACAACGGACTTAAAACTACTTCTCCTTCCTTCTTTTCTCAATCGGTGCTTCCAGTTCTCCTCTTCTACTCCATTTCTTTTGCTCGTGAAGACTGAAGATCCACAAAATTGATTATGGTGAAATGCAAGTGTGGAGCTGTAGGGATCATACGAACTTCAGGAACAAAGAGAAATCCTGGTAGGCCTTTTTATGCATGCCCTTTACAGGTATAGAGTATGCAATTTTTTTTGGTAATTTCTAGGATGAACCCTAGTTTGTGCTAATCGAGGGTATTGAAAACTTCAGGGACCAAAGAAGTGGATTTATTTCATGGGTAGATGAAGAAAATCATACGTATGAGGTTGAAAGCCAAAATCTTGAGCTTGAAATCCATAATGAAGAACTTCAAATCCAAAATCGTGACCTTGAAATCCAGAATGAAGAACTTGAAATCCAAAATCGGAACCTTAAAATGTTGTTAATTGTCAGTTGGATTTTGTTTTTTGGGATAATTGTTTACAAGTTGTAGTATTAGGTATTTCAGTAGTGGTTTTTGGTTGAAGATAATCTAATGAATGGGTAATATTAGCATGTTTGTATTGCTGCATTTTAATGAAATGGTATATTTTGGTACAATTAATAGTTGCACTTTGTTCTCTTATAAAATATTACAATGGATTATTACCATCTTGTATTGCTGGAATTAGGAGAGAAATGGTATCTATTGGTACAATTAATAGATGCAATGCAACTGTAATCTTTTGGTATTTTTCATTTAACATATGACTAAAAACATGCCAAATGAAATGACCAAAAAACATTCCAAATAATCCATTATATAACATTAAATGAAATGACCAAACACATGCCAAATGAAATGTCCAAAAACATGCCAAATGAAATGACCAAAAAACATACCAATAATTGATCCATTAGATAACATTAAAACAAAAGCATTACATAAGAGTTTAACCAAAAACAAATGTCTAAGTACCAACTGCAATTGTTTTGGTGATACTAAACACAATACAGTTTAATCAAAATACAAACATCACATGACATAATAGTTTAACCACAATACAAACATCACATTACATAATAGCTTAACCAAAATAAGAGCATCACATGATAAAAGAGTTTACAATGGATCCTTCTCTTTTCCTTTCTTCTTCTGTTTTCCTTTCTCATTCTCTTTTCCTTTATCCTTCTCTTTTCCTTTCTCATTCTTCTTTTTTCCCTTCTTCCCAACAGTTGGTAACTGCCCTTTGCAAGTCCTGGCATTGTGTCCTTTGTTGTTACATTTGGTACATGTAACAGTTTTTTGTGCTCTAGAAACTGTATTCCCTTTGATCATATCCTCTTTTTCTGTAGCTGACTTCCTTCGTTTCTTTTTGGTCTTCCTATTGGGACACGGTGTTTTGGAGGCAACAAAGTAGTTGGACAAGGTGACTTAATCCACATTCTTCTACCATTTATCGGATCCACTTTGAAAGAGTACATGTTCCTCCAGGTTGATAGCCAATAACATTCATGAACAAAGGTTTCTGGAATACCAATTGCACCATTATTTCTCCTCATGTCCCAGATTGCAGATACAGCATGTTTGCATGGCATTCCAGTTATTTCCCACTTCTTGCATGAACAGGTTCGTTGATTCTCATTCACTACACACTGATCTTGCCAAGGTCCACTCACTTGGTACTTCCCATTTCCACAAAATGATGTTGTATACTCCTCTGCCTGATCTTTGATCTTTTGCAATATCTTGGTAGCTGTTGGAGTCAAAGGGCCTGTTGCTTTGTCAATTTCTTTTTCAACATTCACAATCCTCTTCATGATGTACTCCCGGATGAACTCTAAGCAATTGATAATTGGTGTGTCACGTCCGTCTATTATTTTGCTATTAAAGCACTCGCATATGTTGTTTATCACAATATCAGAATGTGCTCTCCCTATTAATTAATAGAATACATGTATAATTGGTTAGCAAACATTAGAGTATTGTTATGAACTCACTTAATTTAATGAGTAACCACAACAAGAACAACACAATGTAAAGAACAGAATGCAATTCCTTAACTATTACTAAATAATATAAAATACCCATAATGCCCCTGTACCAACAAGATGCTCTTTATTTGATGATTACCCCAAACTACCCTTTCTCTAAAATAAGGTGACCAGAGTGGGTGCATAACAAGTATACAACAATAGTTATCATATATTATAATATATAACATGGTCAAACCTGTAAAATGAGAACGTGCCCAATGTTGAGGTGGTATTTGTTTAAGCCACTCATAACATTCTTGGTTTAATTTTCTAACTTCTTCCATTTCTTTTTCAAACTCTTGCACAGTATATGTTGTTGAACAATTCCAAAGCAGTTCTTTAAACTTATCCCCTCTCCAACGTAACCTTATATTTTCGTGTATGTGGCGAACATAATAACGGTGCTCTGCACAAGGAAACAAATCTGCGATGGCAGAACTTAAACCCTACAAGAAAGATACATTATGTCAATGATTTCTTTTCCTTTAGATATTAGTATTCAAAACACAAGAAAATAACCTTTTGCCTGTCTGATATAAATGTAAAATTTGAATTTGAAGCCAACCCTAGGTCATCACCCAAGTGAGTTAAAAACCATGTCCAAGAGTTCAGTGTCTCAGCTTCAACCACAGCATATGCTAAAGGATATATTCCATTATTCCCATCTAAAGCATGTGCAATACAATCCAATAAATAAAAGTAAAAAAATAAATCAAAATATATGGTTCAACCACAACATAAGAGAAAATGTACCACAGCAGATAAAATTTGACCATGGAAAGGTCCTTTCATGAAAGCCCCGTCTACCCCAAGAAAATCCCTCTTCCCTGCTGCAAATCCTTGCTTCAAAGCACCAAGGCACACGTACACGCGTCTGAAGGTTCTTGTCTCAACATCAGGATTTGGTTCACTTTCGACATCAAGCTTGATAGTGGTGTCTGGGTTTTGAGTCTGCACTTCTAACAAATAATCTTGTAAGATCTTGTACTGAGTGGCATAATCACCCCTGATAATTTTTAAGGCTGCTTGTCTTGCCCTAAAGGCTTTCATCTTAGAAATATCTACTTTGTAGATACGTTGAAGTTGTTCCCTTAAAGCCTTGACTGGAATTTTTGGGTTTGCTTCCACCAGTTGTAGAATTTGCTTTGAAAGAAACTTGTAATCACAAGCCCTAACCTTTCTTGTTTGAAGACATTTATGTTCACTAACATATGTTTTAACTGTCCAATCCTTGTCACGTTTCCACTTACTGGCTAAAAGAACCCAAGGACACTTACCTTCTTCATTGACTACTTCTTGACCGGTCCCACCACCTAGGCTTGTTATGGTTCCCCTGCATACAACCCTTACTCTGTTTTTATCATTCTTCTCAAAATCCAACTCCCTTCTTGTATCTATTGCATGTTGGTTAACCATATCTTTAAACTCCTTTGACGAATTAAATTTCTGATATAAATAGAAAGGCTCACTGACTTGAGCATTTTCGTTCTCATGCGCCCTTCTAATAGCTTTAATCTTTTTGTTTCTTTCTCCTTCGATCCCATCATCCGATGAAGAGTCGGACAAGAAAAGTTCCATATCTATAACTTCAAGGTCTGCTTCATTCCCATCTTCTGTAACTACATGATTCTTTCTTTTAGAAGCACCTCCAATCCACTCAACACCTGGGTCAACATTCAAGTGGAATTCTCTCATGTCAACTTCAACATCATCAATGATATTGTCTTCGTCCACAAGAAAGTCACCATCTTGACTCTCACTATCATCACCACTGTTGATCTCATCACCACTGCTATTATGATCACTACTATGTTCAATTTCAGTTTCCATGATGTTTGCATTATCACTTACCATGTCCACCTTGTCAATTGAAGGCTCATTTCTAGTATGTGAAACAGGAGGGTTGTTTCTATTAGGCTCAAATGTCAACACATCATTAGGCTCAACTTGTGTATCATGCCATTCCAAAAACAATCTTTTTGGGGTACAATCAATCTCAACTATACGTACCTTAGATGGGTTTGGTGACATCGAGTATGTGTGTAATTTCGTTTGCCCGTGCTCTGTATACACCTCTATTAGCTTATGCTGGCCAACATATTTTGCTAAATGCCTTACATCATCATCTGAAGCTAAAGCAAACAAGCCAAAATCCAAATCACATAGTGGCCTTCGAAAATGATAGTACATATCCACATGTAGATTTTCATCGATATACCCAAGTTTCACCATCATGTCATCAATATCGTGAACACAAAAAGTCTCGATGTCTATTAACTCAACGTAATGTCTCTTTCCGTTTACATACTTCCTTCCAGGAAAATCAGTAAACTTTCCACCATGGTTTAATAGCATGCAAAACATGGTCGGATGATCACCTATTAAGGAAATGCCCCAAAAATTTTGATTAACATTTTATTAGGGTTGTAGGATTTCACGAAGCAAATGCAAATAAAAACGAGATTAGGGACTAGGCGGACTTACCATATTGAAGACGAACTTCTGCTTCACTGATCATCCGTCCTCGTGCTTCACTTAAATTCCAAACCGGCATTGTTGATTATTTGGAAAAGCATACAAAGTTTTAGCTAGCGACTAGGGTTTTCGTTTGAGAGAAGAAAGGGAATTCGTCTGACAAGTGTGTGTTTGTGTGTGTTTTGGTTTGACGATGATCGGAATCGTAAAACCATCCGTCTGTATTCTAAATGGCGCTAATATATTGTAGGGTTGAAAGGACAAAAATGCCCCCAGCGTGCCACTCACGTGAGTAGTTCCTAACCCCAAATAAGACGGAAAGTTAACTAAAGGACTAGGCGGGTAACGAAATAAAGTTATAGGGATTGTCCGAGTTAAAAATTCTTTCCAGGGACGAAGCGTGCAAGTAAGAGCAAACCATAGGGACCAACCGTGTAATTTTCTCTAAATATTTTAAGAAATTAAGTTGGACAAATATGATATTTTGATGGTTAAGAAGAATATATATATACAAAATATAAATGTCAAATGCTAATAAAACACAATTATTTTTATCATTTTATAGAAAAGTCATTACGAAGAAAAATACCTTTCACGAATACAATTTGAGAATTCATGATTTTTTACAATAGAGAGAAACCGACCGGTCACCAGTGTGTTTTAATTTGCGTGCACTAGTTGGTTGGTAGGACTCTTTCGGATCATTTTCCCAACTAATTAATATACAATTTCACTTTTGCATTTACAGTTATATAGTTTTTGTTATTTTTCAATGTCCATACCACATTGGAAAATCTTTTTATTTGGTTTTAAGAAAAAGGCGACTTACCTTTACAGAACTGAACTTGAGGTAACTCGATCACAACCAAGTAGAAGTGTGTGCTAGCAGTGAACTCGAGTATGTTTGCAAGTGCACGACCTCTTACACTTGCTGCAGCTCCATAGTATCTCACTTAAGGTTTTGGTTCTGGAAGAAATGCTTCAAATTCCAGTTCCATTTTTTAGGCTTAGCTATAAAAGATGAAATTTTATTAGGTTTAGAGTAAATTACTGAAATCTTCCTTGTAGTTTGGTCAAATTGCACGTTCGGTCCCTAACTTTTTTTTGCACTCGGATCATCCCTGTAGTTTGATTATGTTGCGTTTTTCGTCCCTATGGTTTGGTAAAAATTGCATGTTTGGTCCTTAACTTTATGTATGTAAGGGACGAAAAATGCAACAAAATCAAACCACAGGGAAGAAAAACGCAACAAAATCAAACCACATGGATGATCCGAGTGCAAACCACAAGGATGATTTTAGTAATTTACTCTTAGGTTTTACCGGATGTAAAAACTTTGCACACATTATCTTACACATCGTGTCCTAAGCAATGGTTATAAACGGATCAAAACTTGCAAAGAGAATTACACTTTTGAGAAGGGTGGTGTTTTTTTTTGGGTGAAATAAAAAATAAAATTAGTTTGTAAATGTATTTAGTTAAAATGAAATCTAGCGTTCATGAAAACCAAACGGTGAATCCATAAACTCAAATTAACACATATCTCCATTATGAAAATGCTGCGAAAAATCAAAATTTTGCAACGAATGTTAACAGACTTATTGTAATTGTATTGTATTTCTAGGTATTTTGGTCCATTATATTGTGACCCTTTTATATTGTATGTGTATATATATGTTTCCAATTAATGAGATACGTTTATGGGAAAATACAATCTTATATGGTATAAGGCCTTACCTCCTAAACCCTAGTTGATCCATTCTTTCTCCCGTCGATCTCCATCGTCTTTTCTTCTTGTCATCATTCATGCCTACTGCAAAGCCTTCTTCTTCAATAAAGATTTATGAAAAACCAACTTCTCCCATGAACATCAAGCATGTTGTCCCTCTTGTTCTTGATCTATATCAAATGAATTAGGATATATGGAGTGAGCTTTTCGAGATTCATTATATCGACCGTGGTGTGGCTAATCATCTTCAACCACCAAATGAAAAGAATATTGTCAAATATGAAGTTGAATCATATCGACTTGACTTAATCGTCAAATCATTGATCTATTGTAATCTTTCTCTATCTCTTCTTTACATTATTTTCAAAAAGAAAGCTTCTGCATATTAAGTTTGGAACAATATTAAGAGGGTTTTTCATGATAACAAGGAGTCCAAAATAATTCAGTTTGACAATGAAATTCGTAATGTTTCCATTAATGATTCATCTATTGTCGAGTATTGCAACCGAATTAGATCTATAGCTGATCAACATGACAACATGGGTGCCACTGTTCCTAAAAATAATCTAGTTTCCTACACCCTCAATGGGTTGTCTCCTAAATTTCAGTACATCAAGACCACCATCTACCACACAAATCCTATACCTATCTTTTAGGATACTTGGTCCATGCTCCTACTGGAAGAGGTCACCATGGCTCAAGATCAGTCACATCAACATCTCTCCACCCACTTCAATCATCTCTCTTCTCAAACTGTTCTCGTCATCGATGTTATCGCCTCCCACTCATCCAATCACAAAAACATCAACTTCCGAGGGGGAAAGGGCGGTGATTGCCAAAATCGAGGCAGAGGTGGGGGTCGATTTAGGGGTGGTCTACATCAGCAGCAGTCACATCCCTCTCTTTAGTCGAACTAGCATCTAAATGGATGGGTATCCAGCTGGTATCAACCCCACAAATCAGGTGGCGGTGGCTCTTCTACCTAATACAACGCAACAGCCTCACCCACGTGGGCCTTCTTATACTCTAGCCTAGCACCAAGCTCATCATCAAAGTTTTTGGGCATCCTTCATCCAGCACACCCCATTATGATTTCATTGTCCATCAACCTCTTCAACAAACTCCTTTCCCCAACAACACTTCTAATCAAGCCATCGCTCTTCCTTAAATGTTCAATACAATGACAGCGAATGATCCAGGTCACGGGGGATGGTATATGGACACCAGAGCTACATCTCATCTTCAAGGGGACACATGTAACGCCCGTGTTTCCAGTATAAGCATTAATGTGATGATGTAATAGTTAGGGTCAACAATTATAACATATTTGACGTAATAAATAAGAATTATATGAATATTATGTGTTTCATGCTTATTATAATATAATAAAATAGAAAAAATCAGTTGAATCGTCCGTAAATCGTAAAAATAAGTGTGCCAAAACATATATATTGTTAAAAATTTAGAAAGTACACATCATCCCGATCCTGAAAATATAAATTTTGTAGAAATCCGACTCCATATGAATTAGATGTGATTTTTATAAAATATAAAAGTCAGTCGCGCACAAGGATTGTGTGACGTAAAAAGTTACGAAGAGAACGGTTGACTTTTAGCTAATACGACCAAAATGAAAATCGTAGTACTTCTTAAAATAGGAATTTTGAGAAAAAGAATGTCAAAAACGGAGTCAGTACGAGAGAGTTATGATTTTAGCAAAATCATTTCATTTTATAAAAATATGGACAAAAATATAAATTCAAAAAGACCCGACGGATTCTAAACGAAAGTTATAGATCTCGTCGATAACTACGTGTGGATATAAAGAACGTCAAAAACGAAGTTTGTATGAACGAGTTATAATTTTTAATAACACATTTACGTATTAAAATAAAGTATAAATCATATATACGTATGTATATATTATTAGAAATGTATTGACGATGCGATCGTTATAAGACTAGTGTTGAGTACTTTTGACAGTAGTTTAGTACAAATATCATTAAATTTATTTAAAATAGTGTTATAAAGGGGTGTTTAGTAATTTAAGTAAATATAGAGGGTAGTTTTTGAAAATTCTATTACTATAACTAAGAGTCTCTAGTCTCTCATATTTATTGCACCATTATCTTGATTCAAGAGTCTTTCTCTTCTTACCCCCCCCCCCCCTCTGAGCATTTCGGCCCCTCGTGATTCGACTTCTCTTTCTGTAGTTTTTATTATAGTAAGGTGAGCGCCAAAGCGCTACAAGAAAATCTTTCTTAGAAAGATTCAGCAACGAAGTTATGCCCCTACAGAGCCCGACTCATAGCTAAAACTCTCTTGTAAGTAAGTTATGCTTACCCTATTTTAAATATAGCTTATATTTAAAATTAGTATTGTTATTATGAACTTATAATAAATATTTGAGCTATTATTATGACTTATATAAGTGTCGTTATAATATCTTTTTAACTACTCGTGGTACGGGGAATCTGGTTTAAAGGACCGTTTTTGGATTTTAGAAGTGTTATATGCCAAAATGTTCCTGCCCTCCGGTGTTTTATGTCTGACCCCTATCTGTACATAGTGGTTGAAAAATATTTTTTAAACGCTTATATAATAATAATAATGCTAAGACTAATAATTAGTCACGGTAAATACTAGACTAAAATCTAGTGGTAATAATACTAGGTTTCGTCAAATGAAATTATATTGTTAAAAGCGAAGCGCTGGCCGATTTTGGAATCATTACTTTAACAAGTGAGTGCATAGTTACTTTCATCTTACACATATGATATGAAGTATTTTATATAAATTGTATGTTATGTGTGCATATTATCTGAATACTTGTTATTTATGTTGAATGAAAGATTTTATATATGTTTTAAATGATTTAAACTGTATATGTATTTGATATCTACAAAATGTGTTGAGTAAAACATGGGTAGATGTAATAGTTGGGTGTGATGAAATAAAATGATGAGAGGCCTCGATGTTGACGATGTTTCCAGTCATCTAGTGGAGTATATGGTGGTTGTCGAGGCCAACAAAATAAATACTCTAAATATTACACACTAAAATAGTGTATACTAGTAAAGGGATCGTATCCACAGGGATTGGTTCAATTTGTTACTTCTATGATAATCTTGATGTAAAAACACTTGTAAAACTAAAATAAAATAAAATTTGGGGGATTTTGATATTTTAAGATGTTTAAAATAAAACTAGAGTTACATTAACATTTAAAAACACAATTCAACAAAAGAAAATTTTGATTTAAAATCAATAAGATAAAGATGGTTAACTTTGGACTTTCATTACTTGAGCATTTGGTTAAACAATCATGAGAATACCAAGGTGCAATACTTGTGTTTGTAATCTAACTTGGCTATATCAATTTATAAGCATAACTTGCCTCAACTCTTGTTTTGTATTAAAATGACTAGAGAAGCTCATAGCACATTTCCTAAATCAAAGTCACAAAACTAATGAAACATGTAATTTTGTGAAAATCAATTAGCATTAGGTTTTAAGAGTCACCAAATCCAAAGAGTAATCTATTGCTTTCATTACCACTATGGAGAAAATATTTTCTTAGTCTAAATGAAATGAAAACAAACATTTAAACTAATTGTTGCTTGTTAAATTGAAGACCCATTACTTAGCCAAGAATTTAACCAACAAAAATAACATTCACATATCAATATTCATGACTAGAGATATATAAACATGAAGGAAGTTTTTATAGAAAATATAATCATAGATATTCAACACAAGTTCATAGAGTTCTTCAAAATAACCAAAACATTCAATCAATTACATCCAAGTCAACCAAATATGAGTCTAGCCAAGCATGGCCAAAATAAAGGAAATACAAGAAAGTTTAGTGATACCAAACATTGTTCAAGATGCAAGTTGGAAGAAAAATTGCTCCAACCTTCTAAATATTCCAATCTTCTAGAGAGCAAAAGTGTTGTTCTTCCATGTGTTAGACGCCAAACATGCCTCAAATCTCCAGTAAAAGTGTTCAAAAATAGGATCCAAAAGTCCCCCAAAAGCATTCCACCAACCTTCCCAAAATATAGTCAAAAAGTCAAAAATCCGGATTCTCCGCAGTGCGATCTATGCGGACCATTTGTAAATCCACGCGAACCGTGTGGATTCTGGGCCATTTGGCCCATTTGATTGGCCTTATAGTTTTTGCTCCTTTATTTCTTGGTCCAACCCCCATGTAAAGGTTCTTGATAGCCCAATTGTGTCTTATTGACTCTCCCAAGATGGGTCATTGATTCCTTGATCTTTTATAGCTCAAAATTCTCTTCACATCATCATCATTCTTCATCTAAAAGTAATCCCACTTGCTCCTTTATGTTGACAACATGCCCAATCACACCACTTCAAGTCCACAAGCAAACCGTAAGCCTCCAAAAGTCCCACACTCCTTTCATACCTCCAATGAAAAATAGTCTTCGATAAATCCTGCAAATAAGCTCAAAAGACTGGAAAAGCACCTGATAAAGGAGAAAAATAACAAAAAGAGAAAATATGCATGAAGATTAACTAAAATGAGATGGAATGCGCTAAAATAAACTATAAAAAGAAGTAAATAAAATGAAACTATCAGTATAGATGAAGACCACAAACTTTTCTAGACAGTCCAGTGGAACGCTAGCAAGCTCGCAACCTGTAGGTGTTTGTGAACGATGTGTTCACCGGTGTACTCCATCCCCCTCATGGTTTCCTTACGAACATTTATTGCTGAGAAACCCCCTTAGTAGTATTGTCCATCCCGATGATCACTACAAGAAAAAGACCCTTTTACGACGCGCAAACCACGACGCTCATTGATCTATGTTACGCAAAAGAGATCGACATTAAAAAAATGTCATCTCTTCAAAAAATTTAAGGATTTAGGTCACCCATTATTGCGTGCCCTTAATTTAGTGTTATATAAAAAATAAAAAAAACACGGAGGCGGAAATGAACGCGCGTTCGTTTAGTAGATAGGCGGAAATGAAATCCCCAAAATTTTGAAAACCCTCCTTGTTTTCTACCTTTTTTATATCTTTCATCTTCAAAATCGATTCTCTCCTCTCCCTCCTCTCCAATCCGCTTCTCCCCTACTCCTGACCTTACTTGTTAATCGTCTCATCGGATCTCTGCTCTAATGTCTCTCTGAAGATCAAGAAATTTCAAGCCCTAGTCTCCCTCTGAGGTAGAGACGAAAAGAGAAAGAAACATGAAGAATGCACCTATCGTTGTTACGACTTATGATGCTTCTCAAAGCTTCTCAAAGCTTTTGATAAGAACACTGGCTCAGTTGCTTCTCAAAGCTTTTTATAAGCACCCCGTCGGCTTTGCATACCGGAAATCGACCCACATCCTTAAATTAGGGTTTTTTTTCATCCTTCAAATTACGACCCACATCCTCCATAGATCGATCCTTATTGCTTCATTTCTCACAAGAAATTGAACACTTTACATTCACAGGGCAACAAAATCAACTATTTCTGGAACTTGGGTTTCGGTTCCAATTGAAATTGAAGGGTTTCTGGTCACCATGATCAAAGGGTTAGGGTCTCGTTTGTCAATGAATGCTCACAGGGCCACGGAAGCTAGGGTTTTTGGGCAAAGCTAGAATCGATCTTGTCTCGTTCCTTCGGAATCACGAAGACGCTGATTGCCATGGAGTTCACGCGGACTATGGTTCAGAGAGTTATAAATTAATTTATCTTCAAATCCTGTTTGGAGAACTTCTAGTTTACACTAATGAGCGATGTGGAATAGATTGCATATCTGCTTTGGTAGTTTCCTTCTAAAATTGATGTTGTTCAAGTATTCTATAAACATTATATATGATTATTAATAAAATCATTTACTCCAAAATCATTATATATGTTGTTTACCTGTTTGATCCGTTTGTTCTTATTTCTCAGGAGGATTAAAAAATTGTCCGATATTTATGGCTACTTGCAAAGTCCGGACAAGTAGTTTCTCAAAGAACTTTTCAGCTGCACCTACCTCTTCTGTCCCTGGTCTCAAGTATGGACCAAATGGAACAATCTTTCTTTCATCCAACATACCGGATCTTGATAGTAATCCCAATACCCCCTTTTTATATTTTATTAAAGCATCTAAACAAGTATGACAACAATTTCCTAATGGATGAATTGTTTCTGTAATATCTAGAGATTTTAGGTGGGGGATTCCATTTAGGAAGTCTGATAATGATCATGGAAGACACTGAAGCACCTCATCATATGCTTTTGTTAAGGACTTTCATGTCTCAAGGACTAGTACACAACCAACCTGTTCTTTATGCAAGCCCAGTCAAAAACCCTAGAGCCTTTCTTGGAACCTTGCCAAATACTTTAGTCCCCAAAGATGACAAATCTCGTAACACTGATGCAGAACATGTACTACTTTACTTTTTCCCATTTTGCCCTTAGGAACATGCATCTTTCTCTTCACAACTACAACTGTATTAATGTAAATTTTGCCTTTTTATGAGCTTGTAGAAGGATTTGCGGATTGCTTGGCAATATAAGAAGTACCTTGGGGAAAATAAGCAACATAACGAGGAGCGAGGTAATTTTGTATCTTTTTATCCATTGTGGGGATTTTTAGTATAAAAAGTAAACATCTTTTGTGTTGTGATAATGTGATGCAGATGGGAAACCGTGTGGAGTGTTTTAGCCTTTTAGATTGTTTAAATCTTGTTGGATTCCGTGATAGTTGTTCAAAGTTCATATCTCAATTTCCAAAGTACTGATGTTATTATTAGTAGTGGATTGATCTTATTAAGCTTAAAAGTGGTCTTCTTCATTGACTCTTACACCTAATTTTCATAATTCTAATCAGGTATGATGGAAATATCACAAGTGCAGGAAGAATTGCTATCCAATCATTTTGAAGCATGTAGTGTTCAAGGGATATCAAATAGGCGGTGCAATCTGTGATGGAGCTACAGGGGCGACTGCCAAAACGCTTAAATTACCTCGTGAAGATGAGTTCTGGAGTAGGAGAATTAGTGCCTGTGCAATCTGTGATGGAGCTTCACCAATTTTTAAGGGTGAAGTTCTTGTTGTTGTTGGAGGAGGTGATACAGGAACTAAGGAAGCAATATATTTGACTAAATATGCAAGACATGTACATTTACTTGTACGCAGGGATCAATTAAAGGCCTCACGAGCTATGCAGGACAGGTTAGAAAAAATATGTATTTCTCTTCTCTTAATTGGAAACAAAAAGTAAATACAAATTTAAAACTGGATTAAAAATGGAAAATTTTGTACCAATTAAGAGGATATTATTACCTAGATTGAATCCATATCCAGAACACTGGTGTTGCGTTGGGTCAATTCACAACTAAGCAGAATTTTGGGTTGGGTTGAGCGAGCTATTCAATAGGAGGTAACTAATTGAATTGGTTTTCTTGCCACTAATGATTTTCTGTTTTTTTTTTTCTTGGTTAATTATGTTTTTTATTTTAATATTTCAGAAATGGGAACCCGTTTCGATGCAGCAACGACATGGGAGTTCGATTGTTGAAGTCTATCGCATTATAGAAGAGGTTCTTATTTCTTTGATCTTTATTATATCTACTCTTAAGCATCCATTTCCATTCACTATAATACATTAATAACATACCTTTGTTTTTATCTTCTTTCAGACTGTTGACCAATTTTTTGCTCTAAAGATTCCTATGAGATCTGGAGAAATGAACAGCCTGTTCCGAGGCATTGATAATGCACTTCAAGTATATTCAAAGCATGTTGTTGACAACTTGGGTATGCATATTTAATCTAGAAAAGATTCTTCCTTTTATGTGATTCATAATAGTGAATTTGAATGAACATGCAGCTAACAAGGAAGGCATAGTTCCTCTTGTGCCAATTCTAACAAGATACAGGAGTGAAATTGGATTCTAAGCTTTTGTGAAGAAAGAGTTGAATGATTCATCTTCAAGGATGCCTGATATGAGAAAGTCTAGAGACATCAATGTTATGACTACATCAACACTATGTGTGCAGTTAAACACCCTTTATGTCAGTTCATGTTTCCTTTCCCCCATCAAGTGTTGTCTCCATAAATGATGTTAAAAAAATATAAGTATTTGAGATTTATAATAAGTTAGGACTTAAGAAGCTGACTGAATCTTTTATCATTTTCTACAATAGTATGGCATTAGTCATCTTAACAAGCTGGAAGATAGCATTTGGGAACGCTGGATAAGGAAGCAGAAGCAAGGGAAATCCAATAGTACGTGTAGTCTAGAGTGAACGTTATTTTACTTCAAAATTATTATTATGTTTATACCATCTAAAAATGAAATATTCATAATCATATCTAAGGATGTATTTCACAGAGAGGTCTACAGATGACAACTTGAGAAAAGAAAGCTTTGATGGAAGTAGGAAAGATATTAATGCAGCCATTGACCGGATTTGTGAGTTCACACGTGAGAACATTTTTCAAAATCTGTCATACCATGGTCAGGTATTAGTTATATCCAAGATCTGAGTTTAACTTTCTTCCATGATAATTTTTAACATTTTACAGGAACTAAGCTAATTTTCTGGGATCTAAGGGAGCCATTCATTGAAAACCTATATAGACCTAGTGTTTCAGAGTCCAGGTTGGAAACAACACTCATTGAGCCTCTTGATGTGGTATGTCTATCATCTAATAAAAACTTTTTTTTAAATCATTATTAGATAATAATAAATGTTTAATGTGTTTACAGGAACCAAATCAACTATGTGATATCATTGTGGAGCCACTAAGAGATCGAATTGTAACAAGTCTTCTTCAGGCATCACTGGTGTGTCTCATTTCTATTTCTTCAGATGTTTCATGGTCCCTTTATTTATAAAAGTTTTTTGTTTTTTTGTAGGATGGATTATTTAGAGTGCTATTAGATGGAGGTCCATTGCGATTGTTCACGCCTTCTGATGCTAAATTCTTAGAAGTATAAAGTACTATTAGATAAATGAAGTTTTAGAAATATTTGAGAAAATTCAATGCAAGTTTGGGTAAATGGAAAGAAAATAAACGAGTGCTAATTTCTAAAAAAGTTGGGATTTAATGTGGTAAGTTGTACTTTAGGAGTTGTTATAGATGCAGTAGCAAATCTTTGTGATGAGGTTGCTCATGGATGTGATAGACCAGCACCATCTTCAGACTTCAATTGATTGTTGAAATTGGATTTTTCTAATTTTACTCATTTGAGTGGTGTTACTGTTAGTGGGTTAACATACCTAGGTTGTATGTATTTTATATATCATCTTGAAGGGGAAACTTATAAGAATATTATTTAGTCCAAAGAAGGGTTGTGATTAATATAACCAAAATGGGAAGGGGATCATGTTTTAACTTAAAGTTATCATGAATTTTGATTGATAGGTATGGACAAAGCTTCAACAGGTTGGTGATGAAATAGTGACACTTGCAAACACTCTTTCTGATAAATCCCGGGCTCACTATGAACAGGTACTCATATCACAATTCACTGACTATACAAGTTTTCTATGGCTACATTTGTCACTGGCCCACACATTTATTTGAATTTGATTGACACAAAATTGCAACATTTGTCAGAACCAAACACAAACACACTGTACACAAAATTGCAACATTTTTCAGGTGCAGTCTTGCAAGTTTCTACCCTTAGTATACCAAATTGCTTCAAGGTTGGGTAGCTAAAAAGATAGCCTACATGTATATATATATATATATATATATATATATATATATATATATATATATATATATATATATATATATATATATATATAAGTAATACATTTTTATTAGAGTAAATTACAGGGACCTAATAGTTTTCAGGTTAGAACATTGGAGTTCACAGGTGTTCACAGGTGGATTAAGGTATCAATTTATATTAAGGCTAATTTAATTTATTATTTAAAAAACAAACATCAATTTATTTGCTTTGCTCTTATTGCCCCTGACCGGGCTCAATACGGATTCCCATAACAACATCGTCAAAGATAAGGTCAGGATTTAAATCTTATTATATTATACCCCACATTTTCCCAAATTACCCCTTCCTCTACAATGTTTTTTTTGTTTCTGTGTATTTTGTGCATCAGGTAAAGTTGATGGAAGAAAGGAATATGAAGCCACTTGATTTAAATCTTGTAGCATTATCAGTAAGATGCGGTAAAGACTTGGAGTTGAATTTGGCTAAGTCATTATTGTGTGAGATGGGCCAATGTACAAATGCTTATCCATATAATCAGCTGTTTGGAGCATTAGTCTTAAAGAATTATGAAAAGCAAGATGCAACTTTACTTAGTTGGAATTTGATGTACATAGTAGATTAGATGCAAATTTATATATTGTAAGAAATAGAATTGTATGACATTAAATTTATGAAATGGATTTTATTTTTTGTATATGGTATTTTATTTTCTATTATGAAACATTAAATACAAATTTAATTTGAAAATAAGTAAATCTATAAATAATTTTTTTTTTAAACATTTCAAAATATGATACGAAAAACTGTGTGTCATCTTCATTTATGACATGGCCTTTCTTGATAGGGGATTTCTTGATACGCATTGCGTGTCATTAACACATGCGTCGTAAGGTTACGACACGCGAATGCGTGTCGTTTTCCTTTATGACAAGGCCTTCCTTGATAAGCATTGCGTGTCGTAAACGCGCGTCGTAAATGCGCATCGTCTATAGACGAGTCGTAAATGCGCATCGTCTATAGACGACGCGCAAAAGCACGCCGTCTCTCTTTATGACAGGGCCTTCCTTGACGCGCATTTGCGCGTCGTCTGAGCCTTTTACGACGCGCAATGAGCATCGTAAAAGGCTGTTTTTCTAGTAGTGGATGATCCTTAGGCTAGGTCACTTATGATAGGTGTTTTAGGGACGTAAAGTGAGGATAACAGGAATGGGTAATTGGGTTGATTGATGTGATAAAACTAATAAAATATTTATTGTGGGTTGAAAACCCTATGTGCTCACCAGACTCCCAAGCATGACCCATTTAGTTTCTTATATTACTGGTAGTGGCACAAGAGCATAGTTGGATGACTTGATGAGGGATTATGGAATATAAGCCAGTAGATATAAATAAATGTTGTAAGGCTTATAATGTTCAGTTTATGCTTTTGATATGTATCGAACATGACATCCCGATGTTTTAATATAATGGAATATATTTCTTCGGAAATGATTTCATATATCTTTATCATATTTTCTTTTGGGAACAAATTCCGCAACACTTTTCTTTAAAATGTTACTCTTATTTTCAAACAAAGCATAAACAAATCGGTTTTTTCTGGCCGTGAAAATGGGGATGTCACAACGCAGGTATACTCAATATTGTTTTAAATAAAAGTAATTTTTCTACTTCTGTTTTAGACGGTGACGGATCTTTAATGCCTATCACTATTGTTAGCCATACTGCCATTCCATACCTAAATCCTTATCACACTCTTCACCATAAAAACATTTTAATTACCCCACAAATTATTAAAACTCTTATTTTTGTTCTAGTAAGGTCTATTAGATCTCAGCAACAATCCAATCATGAGCTCGATTCCTATGAAGGCAGGCTGCAAATCCTAACTTTGATTTCTCCTAGCAGAAACTAATTCGATGAGAATTCTTTATGTCAGCAAACCACTACTCACTAGCAGCATGGTCCTTCTTCCCGAAGAACTTTGGGGGTACGCAACCCCTGAAATCTTGACGAGAGAGATTCTGCACCCCAATCAGACCAGCCATAATCTATGCACGATAATCCTTAAGACACTCATCCAGTAGCTCCATGATCCCCTCCTTCATGGTACCAAACATCACAAGATTCACATCCAAAATACCTCAAGTGATCTCAGATGAAATGAACTCGCAAATCCTTTCATTAATAGGCTCAGCACCAGAGCCTGAACATGAACTAGAACCAGAATATACTCCATGAGTGCTCATTACCATACTGAAAAGAAACCATATAATGATCAGAACATACCCAAAGAATCATCATTTTACATGCTTCTTAGAATTTTCGCGATTTTCCTAAATTTGAGTACGGATCCTGTGCTTTTAGTAGTGCAGACCCAATACTATCTTCTACACCTATCCATACTTTCCTCAATAATCATCTCAGATCCTCTAAGTCACCTTCTCAAACTGATACTCCTTATACCCGCTAAACAGCGCGCCACTCGCACTAAAGCACTTCTTAGGCTCTCTCAGGATCCTCCAGTGGGAGTGGGTTTAAGACCCTCTGAGTTTGAACTCCGGCAGCAACAAGCAGCGGTCAAAACCTCTCCCTTATCTCTGAAATCGTCTTTAAAAGACGCTAATCGTCTCTAAAATGATTTTTAGAAACAAGTCTATGAAAAATGATTTCTACCTCCACCACCATTTCCAGACTGTCGTCGTCACCATTATCGGACCATCAGTGACACCGATCCCCTCTTCTTTGTCCATCTTTATCACAGATATGCTCAGAGCTATCTGTAACCCCATCCTCATCATCACTACATCGACTACAATCAAACTCCATCAACCGTCGGCTACCTCCCACCCTCAATTTTTATGGTTTTGTTTTGTTTTCAGAAATGGTTTGAAGAATAATGATTTCATATTCAATTATGGGTTTTCTAGTGCCGAAACGATTTTATATTCATGAGTGTGGGTGTTTATTTTGTAAAACAAACCTAAAAAATGGAGTGTCTTGATTGTGTTATCTTGAGTTATGAACGGGTGTAAGGGGGGGGGGGGAGAGAGAGAGAGAGAGAGAGAGAGAGAGAGAGAGAGAGAGAGAGAGAGAGAGAGAGAGAGAGAGACCTAAAAAATGGAGTGTCTTGACTGTGTTATCTTGAGCTATGAACGAGTGTAAGGAGAGAGAGAGAGACCCTTTTTATTTTTTAATTATTAAAATAAATAAATGAATATTAGATTTAAAAAGAAATGAAAAAAATTGGAAAATAAATACCCCAAAGATATTACAGTCATTTCACTATTTAGAGGGACAAAAAATACAACGAAACTAACTCAAAAGAACCACTAATCCAAAAAAATCAAGGTTTTGATTAAAACCCCAAAAGTGCATACCACAAGGACATTTTTGCAATTTTGTCAAAAATTAAAGAAAAATATATTTAAATATTCTTTTGGTATAAAAAAATAAAATGAAAAACAAAGTAAAGTTAAAAATTAAACCATTGAATAAAAAAATAAAGTAAAGTCCATTAGTTGTTCTTGTAACTCCAAAGTTAAAAAAAAAAAAAAAAAAAAAAAAAAAAAAAAAAAAAAAAAAAAGGTAGAATTGCCTTTTGGAAACATCTATAACTACTTGGATAAAAGACAATATCCAATAGGAGAAGAGTTTAGCGGATTAGTGGTCATTCAATCTCATCAGCCATGGCGCTTCTTTCCTCTCTACATTCTCAGTCCCTTCGTCCTCACATTACTCCCTCTTCAGCTGTTTTCTCTCACCCTACAAGTCTGTTTACACAAACTCTCAACTTCATATTTTTGCACAATTTCTTGTTATCTGTGTGTTATAATCCCGCAGGTTTTTACCTTTGATTTCTTCAGGATTCAAGAAATCCCATGATCAAAATACTGTTTTTTGCAAAACCAATCAACAAGATCAAGATTTACGGTAATTTCAGTCATTAGGCAATTGGCTCAACATGATGTAAATCCACAAAATCAAAATGTTAATCGATCCAAACGAACTATGTTTAATCGCATGCTACCTTCATTTGTGCACTTTCTCTTCTTTTTCTAATAGTGTTTCAATTATTGTTCTTGGGTCGTTCGAAACCAGCCTAACTATCGAAGAACAATCTCTAAAAGTTCAAAGAAGAGATCTTTTGTTACACACTGTATTCGGCGCTTTGTCTATACCTGCTATGGTTCCATTTGCATATGCAGAGGAAGGTAATGAATTCCCATTGAATATCCAATACATTTATCATATCAAAATTCATGAATACATGATTTTAAAATCATTAATTTATCATGGGAAATGTTTATATACGCTTCTGCTAGTTGTGCCAGAGGGTTTCCAAATTTACTCCGATGACGTGAACAAATTCAAGATAACGATTCCTCAAGGTGAGCATTGATTCTATTCTTTATTGGAAATTGAAGGAAAAATTAAGAGGGTAAATTTGTAAAAAAAAATATTTTGAACTTGTAGATTGGCAAATAGGAGGAGGAGAAGGCAATGGATTCAAGTCTGTTACTGCATTCTACCCTTCAGAAGCTTCAAATTCAAATGGTATTTCTACATATAACATGTAATTTATTTCATTATTATTATTTTAATCATTGTTTTCAAAATTAGTTTAGTAGTTAATTTTTAAGTTTCACTATGTTTATCTCAGTGAGTGTAGTGATCACTGGGCTTGGTGCTGATTTTACCAAGTTGGAATCTTTTGGCAAGGTCGATGCTTTTGCAGAGAACTTGGTATACTCATAATCTTAAATTTTATGAGTTTTTTGTTGATAAAAATAAATAAAAATAAAAGAAAGTAATAAATAATAGGTTAGCGGATTGGACAGAAGTTGGCAGAAACCCCCTGGTGTTTCAGCTAAACTCATCGACAGCAAAGCCACTAAAGGTATATACCCTTTCCATATTACTTGATAAATGAAATGATGTTTTATTTATTTATTTATTTAATTTTGGGTATTTTCTTACATCTGAAAATCTTTGATGTGTATTCCAAAATTGGAAAGGAATGTATTACATAGAATACACACTTACGAATCCAGGGGAAAGTGCAAGACATTTGATTTCTGTTCTTGGAATTGCGAATAATGGTTGGTATAATAGATTGTATACTCTCACTGGACAGGTTTGTGAAGCACTTATGATGATGACAAATGATTATTTATTATTATTTTTTTAATTATAATGGAAATCTGAACACCATGGTTTTATATTTCTTGTAGTATATTGATGATGAATCAGAGAAATACCGTTCAAAGATTGAAAAGGTATGATGAATTGATTTATATCTGTTGACTTTTTGTGGCTCTGTTGACTCAGTTTAAAATGTTGATTTTGACTGATCTTGATGATGATACATGAGAACAAATAGAACCTTCTACATGCATATATGAAAAATGAAAATGTTAATCTAATTTAGATCTTGTTGAATGATTAAAAAAATTTTGTGACTTTTGATTTTCATGTTCGCTTTCAGGCAGTTGCATCATTCAAATTAGTTTGATTTGTGTTGTTACAAAGCAAAATCAAAACAACTGTAGTTACACAAGCCAGGTGTGTTGCTTTGCAATTTCCCTGACTTTGTCTATTAAGTCATTTTTTTCTGTATTAATTAAAAAAACACTCATGTGTGTCATATGTTGCAGGAACTCAACAGTTCAAGTTGTGACATGATAAGAAGAATAAATTTCATATTCTGAGTTTTGTGAACAATTCAGCTACACAAATTTCTTCAATCTCAAATTATGTTGTGCATTGCATCTACACTAATTGAAGCCCATGGCTTGATTCATAAACCCTAATCACAAAATGGTGATGGAAATATAGAGGATAACAAGATCAAGAAACTATTGTACAAACTACAAAGAAAAATCAAGATAATTCGGTTTTAACTTTTTGTTCCATATTTTCATTCCTATTTGTTCCATCATTTTTGTGAAACAAAATCGATAGCTGATCAGCAAACAGAAGATTCTGCATTTGTTGGAGTTGTTGCCATTCTTTCTCCATTTGTAATTCAAACTCCTCAAAACGAATAATCTTATCATGAATATCCTTAGCCTATAATAAAAACCCATAAACAAGAAATCATTTTAAACCTAAAAACTGAAAGTAAAAAGTCTTTGAATTTTTATTTCAAATAAAAAAAAAAATACCTGAACTTCAGCAATATCAGAAATTGTTTTTACCAAATCCTGTTCTTCCTTCTCCAGCTGTAATTTTGCCTCAAGATATTTTCCTTCCAATGAATTTTTGTTGCTCTTACCATTTGTTGTTACAGAATCTTTACCAAAAAGAAAACAATTATGATTCAGAGAGAATTTGGAAAAAGAAAAGCTGATTTATAGTGCTAAAATATATATACTACCTTGATCTTTTGCATCATCAGCAGATGATTCAAGAATTTCTTTACTAGTTTCATAGTTGACTTCGGTCAAAGCCTTTACAGCTGCAGAAGCAGCTGCTTCTGCAACCTCTACTCCCGTTAATGTTGCAAGGAAAGCTGCCTAAAAAAATTGAAGTCCAAAAAAGTCAAATTAAAATTGTGAACACTAAATTAAAGGGGTTTTCAGTATGTTTAAGAATTAAGATAAATAGATTTAACTTAAAAATCTTTACCTGAGCTAGGATAGGGTTACTAGCATCATCAAATGGTGTAGGGCGCATCTTTTTTTTGGGATTAGGTTCATCATCAAAATGTTCTTCAGGCTCAATTGAATCAGGGGGACCCACATATTGTTCTCCAAAAGGAAGCTTAATAAAACGATCTACACATTCTTTTTCACTTCTACCAACAACATGTTCAGATACCTTCTTCCAATCATCACCATAATGCATAACAGCTTCTAGAAGGTGCAAAGTTTCTTTCTCACTCCAATCTGTCTTCACCTCTTCACTAATCTCCACTCTTTTAAAATCTGCGGTGTTAACTCCAGCTCGAACATAACACCTTGCACAAAATGTTGTATCTTTCTGTAAAACAAAAAGAAAGTGGTAGAAATGTAAAATGCTTTATTAAAAGAATCATTCATAATGTGATTAAGGATTCAGGTTATACCTTAATGTTGGAAAAACATGCAATGGTGCAAAGGGAATTGCAACTACTGCAAAATTTCTTCTTTGGAGCACTGGAATCAGGAACGGAATTGGTGGTTCCGGTTCCGGGATCGGTGTTTTGCTGTGAAGAAGTGGAAACGTTTTTACTCTCTTTATCTTCCCATTTCAATTGAGCTTTTGTGATAGGTGAACCAAAGTAATTGATTAAACCCCATGTTTCCAAGAAATCAAAAACCTTTCTTACGGACCCCACGTCTCCTATAATGGTCTTTCGGGCTTCTGTGAATGTGATTTTTGGCATAGGGTTTTCTTTAGATGGAGGGGTTTCTTTCATACTGTCTCTAAACTTTTTGATTATTGCATTTCTGTAGTATTTATAAACTTTTGGGGTTTTAGAGGGTGATTTCCCATCAAAAAATTCTGGGAGCATTCTAGTCTCACATTCATGAATGTTGTTCCAAGAGAACCACCCTAAACAAAGAGTAGAAGTTAATAAGATGATGAAATCAATTACACCCATATAGAAAATCTCATGAAGAAGACAATAAAGTGAGCAGTTTTTAGCAAGTTAATTGGAATTTCAAATGAAGTGTACCCAAAACTAATTCCCTTTATAAAGAAGATTAGCAGTTTGATTTTGGAAGTCGAAATTAACTTGTTTGAAATCACGGGTCAAAATGCATATGCTTTTTCTATAATGGAGGAAGTGATAAATGACTTTTACTAAAAACTAACTGATAGAAAGAACCCTAATATTTGGGGGGTAACAACCCTAGCAACATCTCAATGTTGGTAATTTAAACTTTATCGAGCTTTCCAGTTATCGAACCTAAATAAATAAGCACCACAAAAAGACTACAGCTTGAAACCCTAGATTTTATTGCTAGCAATCTTATTGTAATCACTACAGAAGCGATTGAAAAGAGAGTGAATCGTGTCGTGGGCTTACTGGAATAACTAGGGACGTGGATGACATCGGAGTCAGGTACGGAGTAAGGTTCACGCGGCCGTGAATTGACGGTGGCGGGAGTGGTTGTTTGCTTGGAATCGGTGGTGGGAATGGGAGGAGCGGAGGTGGGGTTGGGAGGAGTAACGGGATTTGGGGATGAATCGAGAGGTTGAAGCTTTTGATTTTCAGGTGTGGGGGTAGCTTCGGATGTGGGTTTGGGTGGTTGAGCTTGCGACTTCAATGGCGTTTCACCACCGCCGGAGCTTGTCGCCATTAGTATTCGAACGCCGATGCACAGGGGAGAAGGGGAGAGCGAGAGATGTGTTAACGGTTGAAAACGGGTAGTTCGATAATTACTGTTAGATATTTGATCTTGCCGTTAATTATTAGCTCATCGGTATTTTACCAAAGGAAATTCGAGTCTTTTGTCTCGAAATATATCTTTTTACAAGGAAAACGCTAGGGTAGGAAAAACATTTTTTTTTTTAAAAAAAAAAAAAACATTTTTGGGTTATTGATTTTAGGGGCAATCAAATTACTCCGGATGTATATACTCAGTTACTCTTCTATGTGATGAAGCTCTCTATCTATAGTCGTTCATTCGGGAACATCCGATAAAACTGGAACGATACAGAGAAGATTAGCATGATCATTGTGCAAGGATGACACACACAAATCGAGAAATGATCCAATTTTTTTAAACCCTTCATCGTCTTCTCTGAAACCCTAATTCGCTTTTCAAATGTTAATAGAGTTCAATTGCAATTCTTATGTGGTAAGATTGGTCTTCTTGTTAATATCTTCAACCATTTGTGACAAGTAAGGGTGATCTTTCTTTCTATAAACTCTCCTTAAGTTTTTTACTTTTTCTGTCATTAAGTTTCATGCTTTATAAACTTCCGTTTATGTGTTGTATATAGTCTGGATGTGATTGTTTATGTGTTGATATTTTATTCATTTTGCAACTTCAGTTTCTTAGTTCATGTTATGGTTTTGCTGTTTATAAAATAATTGATAATAGACATCCTTTGTAAGTTCCTATTAGTTTTACACTTCCATTCGTTATCAAATGTAGATATTGATGGGAGGTATCAAAGTGAGATTGCTTTTGTGTATATGGATGTGTTCATGTAAACATTTAAATGACAAAAAAGAAGTTATTGATAAAATGTTGCATATTTGTGTAATGAATATCATCAATTAATATGAGTTTTTAGACTTGGAAATTTTGGAAGGGTTGTGTGATAAGTTTAAATAGAAACAACTATTTTTAGTCAAACAAATCAGTAACATTGATTAGTAAACATATTTTCTAAATAATTAGGGTTAATGACTTAGGGGGGTAATTAAGTTTCCAGTTTATCCGTATTAGGTCACCAATGTGTTTTTGTGCGTATTAGACCAATATGACTGTTATTACCATTTAGAAATAGTCATTTTTACTGGTTAAACAACAAAAAACCGGTAAAAATGACTATTTCTAAATGGTAATAACAATCATATTGGTTTAATACGCACAAAAAAACATTAGCTATCTAATATGGACAAACTGAAAACTTAATTACCCTCTTAAATCATTATCCCTTCCTTATTTTAAATACTACTAGAAATTATTCAATACATGTAAATTTTCAATTAGATGCCGATCATTTTTCTAATTTTTATAAGCATATGGACCATTTGCATATGAATATTTTCTGTAAGTTACAGAAATAATTTTATACTTTATTTTCTATATAGAAAGCAAACCCGTAAATATATATATATGAAAGTCTTGTAATATGCTATTTAAACATATGGATTATTTATATAACAAAATGCATATATATATATATATATATATATATATATATATATATATATATATATATATATATATATATATATATATATATATTGTAAATTACATGGATAATTTTTGTAATTTATTTATGGATCAAACATGCTAACATATGAAAGTATTATGGTCAAAATATAAAACCCAAACATGAAAAAATTGAAGATATATTTTCTATAGAGACAACTTTTATAATTTATTGTCTAGGAACACTATAAACTTGACAAAAATCTAAAAACCATAATTGTTATGGCAGAAGTCTAATAAGCAAAACTATATTATTTGTTTTTATTATATATATTAATAATAGTTACGTTTAAATGTATTATCTTAAAATGGTAATTTTTATATTAAATTAATATAAAATATTAGAATGTTATTTTTAAGTTTTAATTATTATTATTGTTAAAATAGAGAAAAATGTTTATAATTAGAAAATAACATAAATAATTTTCGGTACTTCTTTGAGTTATCTTAGCATGACAATTTAGGTTTATAATTTGAAAGAAAAAAAAATTGTGCTTTTAAAGTTTAAGTTTCATTTTGATTTGAGTTTCCATTAGCGTCATGTTAAATTAACAAATTATGTATATTTTATCGGTATTTCAACGGTTGTGCTATTAAAATGACATATAATAACATATATAAAATAATAAATTATATAAATTATGTTAAAAGGTAAAGAGTTAGGTACTAAAATAAAATAATGCAGAAGTTTAATATATTAAAAGCCCAAATTAATATGTTTAATATAGATGATTTATTTTCGAAGCAAAAAAATTAACATCCATTTCATTTATCTAAAAAATTGTATACATAAAAATAGGCAAATTGCAATAAAATCATTAAGTTAACCGAAAATATCATTTTTTTTTCTCTGAATTAATTTATTATATTTACAATTTTGTTTTACCTAAATTGTAATAAAGCCACTAAGTTTACAAAAATTTTAATTTTGACATCATCTTTTGTATTTCCCCAGTTATGTTATCACATTTATAATTTTGTTGTAATATCAACCAATGGACCGGTTACCATCAATTTAACATGTTACCAAATAAATAATATAATATATTATTATGTGGAAGTCACGTCAGATCTTATACGGCAAGACTGAGTTTCAAATATAGGGTTTGCATCAAACCCAATTTCACATATATTCTTCTCTTCTTTAATGTTTTAAAAACCGGTTTTTTAGTTGAATCGGTATGGTGAACGGTTTTTAGTTCACCCGGTCTAACCGGTTCGACCGTTGAATAAACCGGTTTTTATAATTTTTATCTTTTTTCATATTTTCCTACACATAAATACATACACAAATAAATAATTTGATGTCCACAAGTGCAAATATTAAAATACATATGAAAACAAGTTGTGGATCAATCTAAATACATTAAAATAACTTATAACTGTAAGTTTTACATCAATCCACATGCATTAAAAAGAAAATAAAGGTATAGATTAATATAAACGCATCAAAAAAACTTCATAAAATATATCATGTGTTTTTATTAAGAAAGTTTTTAATATTTGTGAAAAAAAATACTAAATTTATTATGCAAACGGTTTCATATCTATGTGTTTTTATTCAATTTAATAGGTTCAACCAGTTTAATTGAATCAGTTCAACCGGATTTTTGTAAAAGTCGGCCGGTTCCATTAGTTTCAGAAATAGACATAAAACTGGTGATAGTTGAACCGCTCCCTTCCCTGGTTCCCAGTCCAACCGGTTCAACCAACCTGTTCAAATCGGTTTTTAAAACATTGCTCTTTTTCTCTTCTTCTCGTTAGAGTATTTCTTCACAAGTGGTGTCTAAAGGTCGATCCAATGGTTCATACTCGCTTTAAAGTCGACCAAAATGCATCCCCACCCTTTTAGGAGATGATATTGTGGTTTAGAATCTTAATATGTATTTTGTAAATAAAGACCTGTACACGGTCGATCCAGGAGATGCATAGTGAGCTTGAACCACTAGATCGACCTTGTAGGGGTCTTCATTTACTTGTACGAATCGAGATTCCAAACCACAATAACATCTCATGAAAGGGTGACTATGCCCTTTTTTTCGTTGATTTGTAATTGAGTTTAAACCATTAGACCGACTTTCAAACACAATTTTGTGAAGAAATACTCTAACGAGAAGTGTAGAAGATAATAAGAAGATATGTGGAAAGATTGGATTTCTATGTTACATAAAACATAAAAATAACGCACAAGTTGTGGGTACATGCAAGCTAGAGATCTATGTCGTTTTCTTATTATAGCAATATATTATGAATAAACTGATCTAACCTACTAATATGAAAGAAGAAATCAGATTAGTAACATACCTTTTAGTATAATTGAATATACTAACTCCTTTGATCTTTAATATCCCATGGAAAATAAGCGTCAATAATGTGAACGCCTCTAATGACTCACACCCAATACCTTAGAACCCTAGAAATCGAAAGAGGGATTAAAGATGATGAAAATTTTGTATTTTACCTTGTGTGAGGTAAAAGCCATGAAATTATGATGCCAATGGGTCATATTTATAGCTAGTGGATCTCTAGAATAAACACTGATTTGAATAATTAAATATTCATATTTAATTTATTAAAGACAATTATCCTTATCAACTACCAGGAGGCTTCCAGAAACCTTAAAATCCTTCCCAATAACCGTCCATACCATGGAGGATTCTAGAATTCCCTTCCTTGCTCAATTATTAAATAATTAAAATTCAACACTTACACCTTTAATTAATTCCAACTAATCCTAAATTAATTCAATATTAATTCTGATTAATAATTAATTCCAACTATTTCTGCTTCTAGAATGTTTAATTATATTTGAATCTCCACAGTCGTTCACACTCTAGGAAGTGAGTGAGTGATTTAAGACTGTCATGAGTTTTGGTTAATTGGCCAAGGTATTTTAGACATTGCAATAGAGTTTGTGCGACATCCCGGAATTTAGGGCTAGAACTGTAGGCAGTCAGTTCATCGTGAACCTCTTTGTAACCTAGTCTATAGCTTTAACACATATTTTGAAAAATATGTAGTGTCATTATAACTAAAATAAGATATCAATGATATCTTACTTCCAGTTGTGGGAAATCTCAAACAAAACATGCAACACAAACTATAACCCGAGTTAATACGTATGGAAACCTAAAAATTCATATTAAGCAGTTATAAGCAAAGAAAACACTCTAGTCTTATAGTACATGTTCTCTTGAACTGGAAATATAAAAAACATCCAAAATGGAGTTCGTATGCAAAAGATACTACCGTTATAAGAAAACAAATCAGTATAATATTGATTTTCGTTAAAGTGCATAAACCATTTTGAACGGTTGAGGCACTTGCACACCTCAAATGGAAATTTCGACAACATTTTTGGACTCAAGTTATGGTCTATTATTTAATTCCATGCTCGAAATATTTTTAGTAAAATATTTGTAAAGGTTAAAAAATTAGACGTTTTGGGTCAATTAAACGTGAATCTTTAAATGCGATTTCCCGAAGTTCTACAGCTCGAAAAATCAATTCGTTCAGGTTTTTTGGAATCCTTGAACTCGGCTCTATCATTCGCCACTTTTGAAAAATTATTAGAGATTTTGGTACTCAAATCTAGGAAGGTTTTGGGACATTTTTTAGAATAATGACATCACTAGGCCCTACCATCCTTGCATAAGTGACCAAAAATCACCCAACTCCTTTTTCTTATATATAATCACATCCAAGAAACCATCCCTCATCACCTTACCTTGTCCTTTAGGCTAAATGCATATTTGGTCAAGAGTACCAATCATGGTGGTGTTGGTGTAATTGATTAGCTAAACAAGCATGGTCTTGCATGGTTGC